TATTTTTGTTACACAGATTTGCAAATCAAATATTACTTATGGTGGTAAAACACTATAAGTGCGTTTTATAATAATTGAAAAATAAAATAATTTTATTTACTTTAGGATTAGAGCTAAAGCTATTATTAGAGTTAGACAAGATTTAGTTTATATGCAAAATTTCACAAGAAAATTTTTTACTTAAAACCTAAAAAATGGTTTTATAGTCAAAATTTCTAATTATTAGTATTTTTTTTTTAAAAAAATAAAATTTTTATGTTATACCTGATCTTTATGTTATACTGCAGATCTAAAATTTAATTGGTGAAGATCAGTATAGTGTTGAACATCAGTAGTATGATTTAGTAAAACTGTATTTGAATTAGATAATAATGAAGAGAATAATAATTTAGATAATAATTTAAATAATGATTTAAATAGTAATTTAGATGATAATTTAGATGATGATTCTGATTATAATTCTGATAATAATTCTGATGATAATTTAGATAATGAATTAGATTATTATATTGATAAAAATTTAAATAATGATTTGGATAATGATTTAAATAATAATTTAAATAATAATTTGAATAATAATTTAAATAATAATTTAGATAGTGATATAAATAGTAAAGAAGAAGAAGATATTAATAATTATTTAAATGATATATATAAGAATAATAATAAAAATAAATTAAATAATAGTTTAAACTATTTTATTTTATAAAATAAAATATATGATTACTAAAATTATTTAGTAATAATTATAAATCTTATAAATAAAAAAATAAAAAAATTAAAAATTAAATAATATAAAAAAAAATAAAAAATTTAAAATAAAAAATTAAAAAAATTAAAAAAATAAAAAAATAAATAAAATTTATATGTTTTAGTAAACTGAATTAGTATCTAAAATTGGTCTGATTTAGAGTTTGAGTTAGCTAGATTTATAGTTAGATATTAAAAAATAATTATTAAGAAAATTATATAAACTCAAACTAACTATTACATTTATAAATAGCAAATTTTAAGTAAAAATTTATATATTTTAGCAAAATCTAATTATAAATTATCTTTATTTATGTACAAAAAAAAATAATAAAAATATAAATTTAAAAAAATTTTTTTTAATTTTTTATCATGCAATATTATACATATTTTATATATTATATGTATTAATATATATTTATATGTATATTATTTTAAAATATGTATTTTTTCTATTTCTACATATGATATTGTATAATGTATAAACAATTTACTACTATTAACTAAATAGCTATATGATATTATTGCACAAAACCAGAAATAGAAGACTTATAAAAAACTATCTAATAATTAATTTGATTAAATAGATTAAATCATATAAGATTTGATTTAACCAATTATCTTATATCTTAATTGAATACTTTTAACTACTTAATTAAAGGTCTAGTGATCTAGTATAGTGGATATATTATTAGACTGCTATGTAATAGGTTTGGGGTTCAAATTCTTCTGTTGATACTTTGAATAATTTCTCAAATCTTGTACATAACTTATAGTAAACTCTATTCATTTCTGAGATTGTAACCCTGTAAATTATGTTGCATCAATATTGTTCAGATATTAGAAGTATGATAGAATATTAGAGTTGTATTATATAAATAAATTGAGATAGGATCTATAGATAGAAGACCTGCATAGTAGAAATCTCAAGTTAGATTAAATAGTACAGATTTTAATGGTTACACCAATTAATACTTGATCTGATAAAGATTTCTAAGTATGAAGATATAGATTAAATAGATGCAATTAAGTCTGTAACATTAGATATTATGATGATACTAACTTGGCTTAGTAGCTAACTAGATTAGGAGAATCTGTCTTGTAAAATATTCAGAAGAATATAGAAATCTAAAATAGTAGAGGGCCACAGCTGAAACTGGATTTATATGAATATTGAATAAGGGTATATGCAAGCTAGAATAGAGATATAGTGTAGCATAGTTAGATATTGTGATACCTATCTATTAGGAAGTATTAAAGTAGGACTTATTTAGATAAGACCTGAGTCTATAATAGTAAAGTTTGCTATTAATATTAGCTTGGGTGTCTCCTAATATGAAGTAGCATGAGGTTAGAATTAACTATAAGAGTAATATTGCAGTAAGTAGAATAGAACTAAAGAGTTTAAATAGAGAATTCTCTAAGAGATTTCAAGTATAGCTACTAGTATAGAACCTTTGAGTGGACTATTTAAAATAGACAATCTAAAATTGTATATGTAGCTAGTTATACTCTTACAATATATATCATTTCTAAAATTTATGAAATTAATAAAGTTAGCTAATAGCATTTGTATAAAAAAAAAAAAAAAAAAAAAAAACTACTTAATTAAAATTGTGAAAATTTATTTATATTAATATATTATCTATAAATAGAGTAATAGTAATCAAAATAGTTAAAATTAATAAAAAAAATAGCAATTAAATCTTAATCTTATTATATACATAGAATAATAGTAATTAAAGTAGTATTATACTTATAAATTGAGAAAGCAGATAATATTATATGGTTTAGCTCTAATAGTTAATATAGTACTAGATTTAATAACTAATTACTATAAGAATAAGTAATATCAATAGGTTTCTATAACTCATTTATAGTTGGATCTAGGGATGAGAATTAAATCTTTAATAATTAGTTTAATTATTAAACAAATTAGAATTAATTCTTATTTTTACATAATTATTATAATTGTTTCTAGAAATGTTTATATATTTTTGAATTAATTTTTGAATTAGAATAGATTCTAAATATATAATTATTTTAATTATAATGAACTTTTATTTATTTTAAATTATTTTAAAAATAGTTCTTTTGTTTTTAAATATTACAAGTCATTTAGTCTAGCCTTTAGGTTGGTATAGTCATCTTATTTTACAAGTTACTGTAAATATTTAAGATTATTATACTTAATTTTCTTGATAGTTATATATTTTTATTAAATTTTATACTTATAGTTTTTAAATTTGGTATCTGAATAATATTCAGATTTTGTCTTATTAATATTTAGATAATATTCTTTTTCTTACATATTCTAGTATAATTTTTTTTAAATATAAATATCTTGATCTAAATAAAGAATACTTTACAGATTATTGTAGTTTTAGCTTAGTAGATAATTGTTTTTGAATATAATTTATTATAATATATTTAGATTATAGAAAATAATTAGTAAAAAAATAAGTTACTAATATTGTTTATAACAATTATAAGGTAGTCTATTCAGTCTTAATGCTTACTTCCTTTATGTTAATTAAAAGTTACTACATATATATTAATAATAATAAAAAAATATAAAAAAGAACTAATTATCAAATTATTAAAGTTTTTATATTTTCAGAAACTTAAGAATTTAGAATTTTTAAGATAATAGTAATTTATTTAATTGAAAACTTAATTTGTAACTTGTAACTAGTATTTTTAAAAAAGTAAAAAAAATTTATACTTATATATTTTTATTCACAAAAGCTATATTAAGTAAATCCTATATATAATTAAACTACTTATATATTTATAAGTAATTGTTTATTCTTTTATGAGTAGTTGCTTTACTTATATTTAAACTATCCTAAGATAGTATAAAACTACACTTCTTTATCTTTATATAATTTTATTCAATTAGAACTTATTAAATATACATCTTAGGTCTATTGTTCACCCTATATTTATATAAATTATTATCATTATTATGATTTTTAAATATAAATAAAGGTTCATACTCAAGTACAAAAACCTCAAAGTATCATCTTCTGTACTAGCCTACATGGATAATATACTCTGGATTACAAACTCAAAATCAAACTTAGAATCAATAATATAAACAGCAATAATATTCTATCAAATAGCCAATATTTAAATCAATCTTCACAAATTAGTTCTTATTACTAATACCAAAAAACAATCTGAGTTTAACTTTATTAACTTATCTATACAACCACAACAATCTAATATACTATTCAAATTCCTTAGCTACTGGTTTACCTTAAATAGCAAACAAACTTAGCAAACTAAACTTATTACTAATGAAATATCACATCTAACTAATACTCTTAAAACTAAACATATAATTGACAAACAAGTTTGTTATATTATTAATATAGTTATTATACTTATTATTGAATACTGCATTTATAATATTATCTTTCCTCAAACAACATGCAACAAAATTCTTAGCTCATACCTCTTAGTTGCTAAACACAAATCTAATCTTACTACAACAACACCAAATAGTACTCTACTCAACTATAATATTTATGGTATCAAAAATATTTGGGATATCCAATTCCAATATCATATTTCTAATTTTCTAATTAAACTGTATGATACTAGATGCTTAGGTATTTTTATACAAATTAGACTACAACAACTCCAAAATAATTTGTAATCTACTACAAATATCCTCTAACATTCACAACTACAAATTGATGACCCAAATAAATATTCAACAAATTTTAAAATTATTCTCCTTTTTAACTATCTAAATATCTCCATTCTAACAAATACTAACAACTCTCAATCTACTATTATCTCAAATCTATATATATCTTTTAAAAAAATTCTTCAACATGACAACTTTTATAATTCTTTTAAAAATTAACTATAAACAAAGCAAATATTATTTCTTGAATAATTAATATCTGCTAACAATTATACACTTTTAGACTGAACTCACATTTTTCCTAGACTAAACTACTTATCTAAAGCTGCAAACCTAAATAGTTTACAACTTTAAATGCAATTATTCTAGAACACACTTCTACTAGAGTTATTTCTAACCAATTTCAGCTACTAACTAATAACTCTCTAGCCTATATAACTAGCCATTTTAGTATAAAAGCTAAACCTTAGCTAATAATCTACTTGTTATCAACAACAACAGTTATTATTAGCAAAGCTTAACACTTATTCTCTGAAAAGAATACTATATCTATTGCTCATTGAATATTACAACCAAACTTTGACTCTTCTAACTTATATCTATACTCAAATCTAACATGTTTTCCTTGCTAAGGTTGTAGCCTAAACTCTGGAAAAGTAATTAGTTTATGCATTTTTGAAGTTTCAGCTATATTTTCAACAAAATTTCTTAGTTGAAAAACATATCAAAAACTTTCTAACAAACTTAAACTCAATGCAAATTACCTAGACATTTTATACTCAATTGCATTTTACAACTTCTCTACTATTCCTCTACTTTTAACTTTACAAATAACCTCTTCTTCAATCTCTATGTTTTTAATTTTAGTAAAATCACTAAACAACTTGAATCTATTTACTAAAAAATTATAATTAATAACAATTTGTTTTTTATACAGATAGATCTGTTATTTAGATTTGTACTAACCAATACTCTATAGACATTGTGTGAGTTCAAGTTAGTAATAATCAGATTTTACATATATTTTCTGCACAAATTCAACTTTAGCTATCTTCTTACAAAGCTGAACTAGTCTCAATTCTATTAGCTATTAGTACTTGTTCCTGTAATAGCCAAATTCAAATTTATACTGACTCTTTATCTATTATTCTTAAATATAACAAACTCCTCAAAAAACTACTTATCTTATCTAAAATCCTTTCTTTAAAATATTAGCCTATTTGGGTAACTCTACTTAATTACATCAAATCATTTAATTTCACTATTAACTTCCACAAAATACAAGTATATAGTAACAATAT